GCGGTTCAGGTTGCCCTTGTCGTCCTTGATGGTGATGGGCCGGTCCTCCTTGATCCGCTCCATGGCCAGCGGGCAGTCGAGCTGGAAGACACACAGGCATGAGACTGGACTGTGCCCCCCCCGAGGAAGCCAGCTTCTCTCCCACCCCCCACTCTTGAAGAAGAATCCTCAGCCAGGAGGACAGGCAGAGTCTCTCCCCCCCCCCAGCCCAGCCCCCGGCCAGAGCTGCTCACCCGGAACTTGCGGCAGAAGTCGTCGATGGCGTTGATCTCCAGGCCCTGCACCTGCTTGAAGGCGGCCTTGTACTGGACCAAGAGGCGAGAGCAGGCCGCCGTGTACCTGAGAGGCAGGGGGGAGGGTGCAGCGTGAGAACCCGGGCAGGGCAACGGGGGGCCGTGGAGGGAAGAGGCCGACCCTGCCCTCCTGCTGCGGCAGGGCCGATCCGGGGCTCCACCCCACAGCTGCTTAACCCGACGCCCCGGCAGAGGTTCACAAAACCAAAATAGGACCCACGGTGAGTAGCAAATACCGTGCTACAGACAATGATAAAATATATCACATAATTTTTATATACTGCAAAAAGTCTCTCTCAGTGAGCTCAAAGCTTCTCACTTTTGCAGCGTTCCTTGAAAAATTTGGATAAACATTTCGGTATTTGGCAACCTTGTGCTTGGAAATATCTGTTGGACTCCCCGAGGAAGACACTGAAACAGGAGGATATCCGGGCCTCTGCTGGAGGAAGATGGAGCACTTATTCAGAATAGACTTAAAAGGAGTCCTTCCCTCTTAAAAAAGTTTTGTATCATTAAGGAGGACTGATATTAATCAAGGGGTTGTGCAATATCTTTTGTGATATGTTAAGAGACGACACTTAGATGTATTAAGGCTGATATGATAAATAATATATGGTGAATAAATTGTAAAAATATAAAAGAAAAGTATATAAAAAAATATTTGAGATATTTTATCATCGTCTGTAGCCCCAGCAGAGGTGTCTGGCGGCTGGCCCCAAGATAGCCCCGGGCAGCAGATGGTGTGGAGGGCTGGACAAGGAGCCCCCCATGAAGTGGTGGGGGGGGGGAATGGGACACTGCAAGGAGCCAAAAGACCTGCTTAGTCCTGCACAGATGGGGCCTTGGAAGCCGTAACCCTCCCCTCTACCACCTCGTTCGCTGTGCACAGAGGAGCCACTCAGCTCTCCCGGCTGCCAGGCCTGGGAGTCCACAGGGAGGAGGAAATGCCCTCCCAATTTCCTGAACAGTTCCTTCTGAGCCCTTCTCCCACCCCCATGCCCTTTCCTGGATATCTTTAGGGAGCTGGACCCAGAGGTGCCCAAGGCCCTGGCTGCAACTCACTCGCTGGGGGTGACGCAGTCCTTAATGTAGGCCTTCTCCAGGGCCTGCATGGTCTTCACCACTGCAAACAGCTCGGCCATGTTGTCATACCTGAAAGCAGACCGAACAAGCCCGAGATGATGAAGAAGAAGAAGGAGACTGGATGTATACCCCGCCCTTCAGTTGGAGTCTCAGAGCGGCTGACAAACTCCTTTCCCTTCCCCTCCCCACAACAGACACCCTGTGAGGCAGGCGGGGCTGAGAGAGCTCTGACAGAAACGGCTCTTTTTCAAGGACAGCTCTTGTCAGAGCTATGGCTTGCCCAAGGCCATCCAGCCAGGTGCAAGTGGAGGAGTGGGGAATCAAACCCGGTTCTCCCAGATTAAGAGTCCACGCACTAAACCACCACACCAAAATGAAGCCCCAAGGGATCCTTTCTAGCCTGCAAGAGATGGCAGGAAAGAGCAAGGAATGGGGGGTGGGGGTGGAAAGTGCCGTCAAGTTGCAGCTGACTTATGGTGACCCTGTAGGGTTTGCGAGGCAAGAGACCTTCAGTGGTCCTTTGCCCCTGCCTGCCTGCCTGCCTCCGGACTCCCTTGGTGATCTCCCATCCAACTACTGACGAGGGCCAGCCCCGCTTAGCTTCCGAGATCTGGTCAAATCAGGCTAGCCTAGGGCAGGGGGCGAAAGTAGTGGGGAATGCTGGGGGAGAGCTCCGTGCCAAAGGGGCATGGTGTCAGTGCCCTGCCTGGCTCTCAACCTGCTCACTGTGGCCAGTGCTGCTCCACCCCCCCCAATCAGTCTCCAAAGCCTGAGCCTGAAACCACGATTCTTTGAAAAGATATGGGGGAGGGGAGTGCAGAGATGTGGGGTGCACAGAGCTCTGGGCCTCCAGGCTTCTGGGAAAGGACACTCGAAGAAGAAGAAGAAGAAGAGGAGGAGGAAGAGGAAGAGATGATTGGATTTATACTCCGCCCTTCACTTGGGAGTCTCAGAGAGGCTTACAAACTCCCTTCCCTTCCCCTCCCCACAACAGACACCCTGTGAGGTAGGTGGGGCTGAGAGAGCTCTGACAGAAACGGCTCTTTTTCAAGGACAGCTGTGCCAGAGCTTGTGACTGACCCAAGGTCACATCAGCAGGTGCAAGTGGAGGAGTGGGGAATCAAACCCAGTTCTCCCAGATTAGAGTCCGCGCACTTAACCACTACACCAAACTGGCTCTCCAACACCTTTTGCAAACTACAGATTCAGGTGTGGTCTACAGACCGTGCTGGCCCGAAGCGGCAGAACAAGGTTCGAGTCCAGTTTGTGTCGAGGAAGTGTGTGCACGCGCATGCGTACGAGAGCTTACACCCAGAATAAAACTGAGGTGGTCTTAAAGGTGCCCCTGGACTCAAACTCTGTTCTTTTGAAAGCTATGTCTCTTCTGTGGGGTGGAGGGAGGCCCAAAAATAGAAATACTTTCTGAGCCTGGAACGGGACGACCGGCCCACTGAAACCATCCCACAAGCACACGCGATCCCTGGGCGAGCGACTTACTTCTCTCGCTCCCGGGCATTCTTGTACAGCTTCACTTCCTGCCGAACGGAGAAAATGTTAATGACGAAAGATACAGGGGCGCCTGAAAGCCCGAGGCACCCAGACGCAGGTGCCGCATCCTCGTGATCTGGGGGAATTGCTAAAGTCCCCCCACGACACTGCAAAGATTAATTCAATGGGCACACCCCTCTCCTCCACAGGGGGCGGAATTGGGCATACTGACGCAGACAGCTACTTGCCTCATATAGTTCCGGCCTGTTTGCTGGGGCTGAAAGCAAAGAGAGAAGTCTGAGCCACCCCCAAACAACCACCACAATCATGAGAAAAGGCCCCTCTTGCCTACAACACAGCTGGGGTGAGACGTCCCTCTCTGCATCACAAACACCTGTATCCTCCCCCATCAGCACGAGAAACCTCAAGGATTGCCCTGAAGGAGAACTCGGCAAGGGAGTGCAGCTCCGCGTGGGTTTGCAGACCCTCCACTCAGCCTGTGAGGGGTGCAGAGACCTAGAAGGCGCCACGCGGCGACCCCTGCTCAAAAAACCTCCAGTGCCAAAATAGCCGATGGCAGAGCTAAGTCACCCAAAAGACTCTCCCCCCCCTTTGTCGTCTGCTCCTCACTTCCGAGGCTATGCCGCCAAGCAGCGTCCGAGGACTCACCTCCCATTCCCGCGGTGGCGGGGATTCCGTGGAACATGCTTCCTGCCGTCTGCGGTGCCAGGATCCAGACAAGCCTCCACACGGGGACCCTGCCACAGAAGCAGTGGCTGTAAGAGCGGCCCAGAGCCCCGGCGGAGTGACCCACGCCTCCCGCTGGGCTCTTTTCGCCCAAGCAGAGCCTGCCCAGAGAGGTCCCCTCCTCTGCCAGGAGCAGAAGCAACCAGGCTGCGGCCAAGCCCAGGAGGCGACAGGCCTCTGTGCCGAAGTGGGAGGGCACAGAGCAGGTGTGACTCGAGTGCAGGGTAGCAGAGCCGGGAAGGAGAAGGGCCCGGGGTCGGGTGCATCCAGATGAACCGGGACGGGGTTAAGGCAGAGGGTGGGGGAGCCGGGGGAAAGAAAGGAAGCCCTCAAAGGCAAGGCTGAAGGAACTGGGAAGACTGAGCCTGGAGAAGCCGGTGGGGTGGGGTGGGGGTTTTGCCCTGGATCTCCATGGATTCTTACATCCCCATCAGGACACCAAACAGCCTCACCCCCGGTTTATCCTCATGACAACCCTTTGAGGAAGGCTAGGCTAAGAGCGCAGGGCAGGAAGGGTTGCCAACCTCCGGGTGGAAAAAACCAAGAAGGGATCACAGGAATAGGGAATGCAACAAACAGACAAATACTGTGATATAGAGGACAACACACGTTAAAAGTAAGAATCGTATTATATTGCACAACTTGGCAATACTCATTTAAAAGACCAGGGGTTTATTTTTTCAGGATTATTTGAAAAATATAAGGAAGAGTTGGATAACATTTACTATATTATTATATATGTCTTTCTTTGGTTATCTTATTTCAGAGTGTCTGGCATATACATCCTGGCTAAGTATTAGGAACAGTGCAATTAACCTATAAGCCCAACTGTATGAAATAGAAAATCTCTGCTGACTATGTAACTGTAGGGAAGATAAGAATATTTGAAAATAAATAACATTCTTTTTTTTAAAAAGGAAGCTGTGGGGCTCTTCTCTCCCCCTGTGCTATTTTCAGGAGCCCAAATTGGCATGTGGCTGTTTTGACTCTTGCAAACAGCACAGAGGAGGGAACAGGAGCTCCTAATCCCTCCCCCCTTGCAGCCCCCCTTGCAGCATTTTTTTAAAGTTAAGAAAGAGAATATAAAATGGTGTTGTGTCCCTGTTATGAGGCATTGTATAGTCTGGTTTGGCCCTCAAGCCCAGACACTCACTTGTTTTTAATTTATCCAGTAGTCCCAGAACTTCTTGATATCTCTGATGCATTTCCTCAGACACCCTTCCCCAAAACAGAAATATGTCCCATATTTTCTATAGTGCCATCTGAATAAATCTTGCTTCTTTTTCTGTACTTTTGTATGGCTGTCAGTGTGTAGAATATTATCTCTATAGAGGAAGAAACGATGGAAAAGCTACCAAAAGGCAAGGTTTGCATTGTTTCGAAAGCTTATTTGCCTGTGAAAAACCCTCCATGAAATGCAAATGTCTGAGTTCACTTTTGACATTCAGTTATGAGATTTTTTTTTTTAGCTGCTGTACTACATGTACTGATGCCTTGAAACCCTCTTTTTAATCTGTTGGAAATGAGCACAGATTCTACACTCTGTGCATTTGTATTGCATGGCCCTAGGCTTGTATTTCAGATGACATGGACATCTTCAGATCTAATTTGCTGACACCCCTCTCTCTGATTATGTTAATAGTGTGTACTTTTATGACCTCTTCTCTTTGTGCCTTTATTCTGTTGCTGGGAAATGTCCATTGGGAATGCTTAGTCCCATTGCTTGTGTCTCTCCTTCCTTATCATTTGCAGTGAAAGAAATTGCCATGTTTTACAAAAATATTATTTTTGAACTCACTGTTTCTATGGACAAAAATTAGTCTATGTTGTTTATCATCACCTGCGGGATACCATCCCCCCTGTCATATACCAGTCCATGAGAGTTAAGTTTTGAAAGCTCAGTAACAGAAGACCTATTTTTTGTCCTTTCTCAGGGAATGCTAAGGAGTTTATTCAATCATTTACACTGTTATGTATTGAGCCTGAACTGTACTTGCAAAGGACTTAGCTTGGGGATGCATAACAATAGCATATTAGGGTCCTAGAATGGACCAGTAGGGTGACAGGGATCCTAGAATAACCCAATTGGGAAACAATGTAGTGTAAATAGCCTATAGTTGGGCGTGAGGTGTGTTTTGGGTGTAACCTTTTTCAGGCATAAGTACCCGGCTTTGGCCAGGGGTTTCTCAATCTTCTTTCTCTTGCTGAATCGCTAATAAACTATGAGCTGATCACTTCTACATATCTGAACCCAGTATATTTCATACTCCAATATATACTTTTAAAATCATGATCTCACAAGTGGAGAACCCACAGGGACTTGCAGGGGGCATCTCATTTTCAACTCCCTCACAATTTCTCCCTTTTCTGAAAGCTCCCATAGCATTTCCCTTTTTTCCTGCTTCCTTCTCTCCTTTGCCCCCCAAGCCGGAATAACGAGGCAGACAACAATGTTGGGTACTAACGGGCCACTTTATTAACTATCATAAAACATAACGGCAAATACAGAGGGGATGCAAGGAGGTGGAGACTTGCTTCTTGCTTTGCTAGCTTTCTGTTTGCATGGAGCTGTTTGTGCCGGGGGCGGAGGAAGGCTCACGGGTGCCCTCAGCACTGACCCCTCTTGGTGCCCCCCCCTCCTTTCCACACTGACCCCCAGCCCATTTTAGTGGTCGACCTGTCTGACCAGATAGACGATGCAGGTGGCAGCAATACAAAAACGGATTCATAGGATAACACAAATAGACTGTACAAACGAAGCTTTTCATGCTTTTCCCAACGTTCTGGTGCCCCCTTTGGCCCTGGTGCCCTAAGCACCTGCTTAGCCTGCTTCGTTGTTGATCTGCCCCTGGTTTGTGCCCACACTTTTGATCTGCCTTTGGGTGGGTGAAGACCTCCCCGCTGCCACCCATTATCTAGGGTTGCCAGCTCTGGATTGGGAAATAGCTGGAGGGGGGGGGGAAGAGAGCCTGAGGAGAGCGAGGCTTGGAGAAGAGATTGGATTTATACCCTGCCCTTCCCTATCCCCTTCCCCTCCCCACAACAGACACCGTGAGGTAGGCCAGCCGAGAGCTCTTTTGAGAACTTGTGACTCACCCAAGGTCACACCAGCAGCTGTATGTGGAGGAGTGGGGAACCAAACCCGGATCTCCAGATTAGAATCCGCGCACTTAGCCACTATGCCAAACTGGTGTAAGGAGGGGCTTCGATGGGATCTAATGCCCAAAAAGTCCCCCTTCCAAAGCAGTCCTCCTTTTCTCCAGCTTTGTCGCCTGGAGGTCAGCTGCAGTCCCAGTAGATCACCCCCCTGGAGGTTGGCAACCCTACTTTGCCA